AAAAAAACCTGAACCATCTGTCTCTCCTGTCAAATCGCATCCAAAAAACGTTGCCTCGCCTGCAACTTGCTGTCCATGGTCCTGAACTCAGAGCGCTGCATCAACTCGGCTGCCAGCATCTTTTGCTTCAACAGGTAGCAGTTTTTCATGGCGTAAGGCAGAGAAACTGCTCGGCAGTCTATACAAGCATCTGTGAAGTCGTATCAGTTGCAGTGGCCAATTGTTGCTAATTAATGAGGTGCCAGTCACTTTTGTAGTTGTGCACCCAGTTGCACAGCAGGCATATACAGTGGTGCCTCGCTAGACAGTTACCCCACCTGACAGTTTTTTTGCTAGACATTGAATTTTTGCGATCGCTATAGCGATTCGCAAAACAGTGATTCCTATGGGGGAATTTCGCTGGACAATGTTTGGCCCCTGCTTCACAAACCGATTTTCGCTAGATGACGATTTGCTTTTTGCTAGACAATGATTTCGCTAGACAGCGATTTCAGTGGAACAGATTATCATCGTCTAGAGAGGCACCACTGTAATCAGGACCCGTTGCATTAATCAGAGCAATTATGCCAGTGGGACTTACAAATTTCCCCTTAAATCTATGCAGATTGTCTAAAGGATTCTGGCCAGCCTCCCTCATCACTGGTTCCTTTAAAGCAGTGGTTCCCAACCTTGGGTCCCTAAATATTCTTGGGCCACAACTTCCAGAAATCCTGGTCAGCACAGACAGTGGTGAAGGCTTCTGGGAGTTTTAGTCCAAGAACATCTGGGGATGCAAATCTAGGAACCACAGCTTTCATGTAAGGTGCCAGGCAACTTGGAGGGATTCCTTAGCAATAAAGTAAGGCTTTGATAAATACATAAATTATGGACGTGTCCTGACACAACACAGAATGGGAGAACATGGAAAATAGTTCCGGGCAACTACGTTACATGGAGTTAGTTAAGTACAGGATATATTGGTAAAGAATGACTATTGAGGATCTCAAATCTGTAGCTCAAGGAGTTGTTCAATCAATAAGTCATAGTCGTTGCCAGAATCTGTCCTGTTTTTGCAGCTATGAGAGGCACAACTGGCCGTGGTGTTCAAAACTACAACACTTTAGGGGGAAAAAACGGGCCCTGAGGTTAACTTTACCCCCTCAGAGAGGAACCTGGGTTTTAACTTTTCTCCATTCCATACAGAAAAGAATCATGGGCATTGACTTTTCCTATCCAAAACTTTGTCCCCATGACTTTTCTCTGGTTAAACTGGCATTTCTTCCTGTTCCTCTCTCTGTTATTTATTTATGGTCGATCCCCATTTCTTTTCTTAGCCTTTTCTGGGGATAATTACAGCCTTTTGGATACATCTCCGACGCATGAGCCTCCCAGCCTCTAAATAAACTCCTCCTTTTTGAAAGCGCAGCTGAGCTCACGAGATGCTAACCAGGACCCAGCGTGACAATATGCCAAGGAATGAATTTTTGGGAAAGCACCAAGATTATAATAGATGCTTCATATTTTGCTGGCCATAGCAACCAAGAGAGAGAGAGAGAGAGAGAGAGAGAGAGGGAGATTGAGAGATCTATTTGGAGCACATTAAAATTTCCTGGAGCTGCAAATGAGGGCAAGCCTTCTTCTGTCCACAGTCCTTTGCCAATTCCACATGAGAGTTTCTTTAGGAAAATTGACGGGAACAAAGGCAGAAAGACAGATCGCCAATCATCAAGGCTGATTCTTCTGTACCCTCTACAACTGCAGCTCTCTCTGAGAGCATCTGCATGCTAATACATCTATTTTGCTTCCTTACACTGTACACGGCGGGCTTTTTATTTTTTTGTAAACCACCCTTTTCTCCAGCAGTTCTGAGTAGCAGACATTGGCCTTAGCACTCCTGTAAGGTAAGCTGGCTGGATAGCCTGGTGCATTAAGCATCTGGCTCCAGAGACAAAGGTTGGGTGTTTGATTCCCCGCTGTGCTTCCTGTGAAGTCAAGCCAGCCTGGGTGGCCTTGGGCGAGCTGCACACAATCCCAGGGCACCCCAGAAGAAGGGAAGAGGGGAAACCACTTCTGTGTATGTGCTTCTTAGAAAACCCTGAAAAAGGTTACCGTAAGTCGGAATTGACCTGATGGCACATGGTGATGATGATGACGACGATGACGATGACGACAATGACGATGACAACGACAACGACGATGACAGTGATGGTGATGACGACGATGACAACGACAATGATGTCTAAGGTGGAATAGGTGGAGAGAGGCAGAAGTAGAGTGTATGCTCATTCAGACCAACCTGGAGCCCTCTTTCACCATAAGGACGCTTTCTCCAAAGCCATGTTTGATCACCCTCCCTTAGCATCTCTCATGCGAACAGACTGAATTGCATTAAGGATGTTGTGATTCCCAGTGTGGTGCAGTGGACAGAGTGTGTTGTGATTCCCAGTGTGGTGCACTGGACAGAGTGATGGGCTCGGACTCTGGAGAAGAGGGTTCGAATTGCCGCTCAGCCACAGGAACTCACTGTGTGTGTGTGTGTGTGTGGGGGGGGTGTGTGTGTGTGGAACTAGTCAAATCACTCATTAAAGATCTCACTTACCTTGAAATCCCTGTTAGGGTTGTTATAAGTCAGTTCCAACTGGATGGCGCAAAACGCACACACACACAATGGTGTTGTGCAGTTGCTGCTTTCAAAAACAAAATCCCTGTTTCCTGATGTTGCATACAGACACCTACTTCATCCTGGAAAGAGGGACTAAAAATTGCTTTAAAAATACACAAGACATCGGCAGCACGCCGCCCTCTTTCAGCCACCCTGTGTGGGTGGGTACGTGTGGGAGAGCGTGTGGGAGAGAGCGAGAGAGAGCTTTCCTTCCCGGATCCTTTCGGGAGCCATGCCTGATGTCTGCCTTTCCATCTTCCGCCTTGCCCTGTATCGAACCATCAGCCCCTGGGGAGCCTTATATAAAACAACGGGGTTGTGTTTCCTTCTGCCGAATGTTAGAGGTTACAAGGAAGGGTGTGGGTGGAATGGAGGGAAAGCGAGCCAGCGAGCGGGAACCGGGCAGAACAGAAGGGGACAGGATTTCCCCTCATTAAATGATTATAATTTGATCACTCTTCTGGCAAGGGGAGGGAGGGAAAGGGGGCAGGTGGCTGAGCCGGCGTGAGCTCTCCATTATATGCTAACCCTTCCAAACGGCTAAGGACAAGAAGTCAGCTTAGCCAGCGTAGGACCAGCTCGTGGTAACAGCTGACCCTGATGCCCGCAGCTAAGCTGGAGTGAAATGGCACATGCTGTCTGCTGGGCAGATCAAGGCGACATGAAACTCGAGCAGGGAAAGGACAAAATGCACACGTAGGCCAGACGAGGAGTTACTGAGCGGGGCGGCAAGAGCAGAGTTTAGAAGCAACACAAAGGGTGCAGGGACCTGTCTTCGAAGTCGGACACCCTTGGTCTGTGCGCAAGAGATGGCAGAGGCTTCTCTTGACCGCATCTCAAGACAACAGGGCACAAGCGTGCAACCTTTTGCATGCACAGAATGCGCCCTTTCTTTGCGAAAATTAAAAACAAAAGAAAGCCGGACGTTCGAGAGCGAGCCAAAATAAAAACCAACGTCGCTCAAGCTCACACAAACAGGCACCATGTTTCCAAGAGTCCGGGAGAAACTTACGGGTCTGCTCTCGGATATATCAAGATGGTCTGACACAAGCGAGAACCAGAGAGGGACTCGTGCTAGGATTCTAGAGACCTGCGTTCAAGTCCAGGTTGGCTATGAACATTCACAGAGGGTAGTGGCAATGGGTAAAGCACTTCGTGAACATCTCACTTGCTTTGAAAACCCTATTCAAGTTGCCAGCTGTGGGAAGCGATTTGACGGCAGCTAGCAACAAAAACAGTGACTAGACTGTCTGGTTGTCGACTGGGCAAAGTGGGCTGGTTAAGGTCTCTTGATGGTGGAGCCAGAGGTTGGGAGTTTGATTCCCCTCTTCTGCCTGCTGGGAGAAGAGCCAGCCTGGGTGGCCTTGGGCAAATATTTTTCCATGTATAAGACTATACTTTTGTCTAAAATCTTTAGACTAAAAATTGAGGGTCGTCTTATACACGGAAGTAAGCTGAGGAGAGAACAAAAACAAGTGGAGGGGAAAGCAGGGATCAAAGCGATTCTGCAGCACTTTTATCCCTTTCCCCCTACTAAGCCCCTCTATGATTTCTTAATTTTGGATTAGAAAAGTGGGTGTGGGTGTGTCTTATACATGGGGGAATCTTATACACGGAAAAATGCGGTACCTACTTCTGAATTCTCTCTCCCTGGAAGATCCTGAAAAGGGTCACCCTATGTCAGAATATGGAGCTAGTGGTTGGGAGTTTGATTCCCCATTGCACAGCCTAGGAGAAAAGCCAGCCTGGGTGGCCTTGGGCCAGCTGCACAGTCCCAGGTCGCCCCCTAGAGGAAGGGAATGGGAAACTACTTCTGAGTATTCTCTACATAGAAAATCCTGAAAAGTGTTGCCGTAAGTCGGAATTGACTTGACGGTGACTGGGCAAGTTCGTCAGTGTGAGAATGATAAAGTCTCTGAATGGCTGTGGATATTTCTTGAATGAGCAAATTACGTGCCGAGGTGAGGCAGAGAAATGCATTCCTGGCACAGTGAAGAGTGTGTGATTTGCACTTACAACGCAAAGGGAAAGGATGGCTGTTTGTCATCACAGTTAATTGGAGTGAGGGGTGCTACGGTGGGGGTCCTCTCAGGTGGGGGCTCACTCAGGCCTGTTTCCATCATCAGCCATCCCAAAGCAACACGTCTGGAGCCCTTTCTAATCCTCGGCAGCCCTGCCTCTGTGACCTCACAAGGCTCCGCCCTCTGTTATGAAAGGCTCCGCCCCCTACTCTTCCGTTTCGGCCCCTGAAATAATTAGGGAAGGGTGGCTGCTGACTTGGTCCGCCTAATGAGAGATCCACCACAGTGCTAGGAATCCCGATGCAAAGCAAAAGTGGAGCATGGAACCGTTTCCCTACCAGGATGGTTGAGGTGCATCGTGCTCTTACTCCACTGGGACAACCCCACGATCGCCACCATCTTGGCCCCCAAACTGGAGCGCCGTTTCTTCGTGGACGAAAGGCTAGCGGAATCTGGGTTGCTCCCGCGGCTCTTCTCGATGTTGTACATCTCTCCGCTGATGCTGGAGCTCCGGACCACGTTCCTGGCCGAGGAAGCGCTCATCTCCCCGTTCAGCATGGTCACCTGGGGCGATCTCAGTGGCTCGTGGCCCACTGGGGAAGGCTGCAATGGAAGACAAATTAAGATCAATTCAGGGCCGAAATGGGCAGGTCTGCTGGCGGCCTTTTTGTCCAGGGACACCGGCAGAGCCCAGAGTTCAAAAATAAAGAGGTCATCAGTGTGGTGCAGTTGACAGTGTGATGGATTGGGACTCAGGAGCCCTGGGTTCGAATCCCCACTCAGCCATTAAAGCTCAATGGGGATTTGGAACTGGTAAAGCCACTCCTAAAATATCTCACTTACTTTGAAAGCCATGCCAGGGTTACTCTGTGTCAATTGCTCAAACCCCCGGTGTCCGGGGCTCCTCTTACAAAATCGATTGTGCGACTGGTTGCACCGCCAGTCTTACAAACTGCAAAACGAAGTGTGCAAAGGGAACCCTGCCAGAACAGGGGAGGTAACTACGCGGTCACTCCACCATGATAGATGCTGTTGTTTTATTTTAACCCATGCTTATTTCATTTCCATGTCTGGCTGGATAGATCAGTGGCTTATATATCTGCCTGTGGAGCCAGAGGTTGGGAGTTTGATTCCCCCACTGGGCATCCTGGGAGAAGAGCCAGCCTGGGTGGCCTTGGGCCAGCTGCACAGGAGTCCCAGGGATTCCCCCCCTCCCGCCGCCAAAGAAGGGAACGGGTAAACCACTTCTGAGTATTCTCTACCCGGAAAACCCTGTGAAGAGTCACCATACGTTGGAATTGACTTGATGGCACATCCTCATCATCATTATTGCATTCTCATTCAGTTCCATATCCTAACCCTTCCCTTTTATTGTATAAATGACTGTCTACAGAAGGACCCACAGCCGACCAAAGGCTGTTCTAAATAAACTCCGTATTAAATGTAGGAGCAGTGTGTTTCTAGCTGTTTCCTTCCCTGCAGCCTGTTCATCATGGTGGCTTTCCAAAAGGGCAGGACGAAGTAAGACACATCTCGGATGGTTTGCAAAAGGTCACGGTGCAGGTGGGGGTCGAAGCCTGCTTGCACTCGACCAGAACCACTCCTGGTTTTTCACCTCTTCCGTCGCTGTGCCGAAGGCAATTACGGCTTAGAGATGCAAAAAACCTCTCGGCTGGTTAAAGACCCCATCTGTGTGTACTGCTCGGGCACTGTCATAATGCCGGGAGAAATGCCCTCTACTAGACACAAGGAAAGCTAATCCACGCCGTGCGGAAGGGCTAAACCCCTCTCTAATGCTGAAAGCGGGGCTCAGAGATGCTGGGCGAGAGGGTGGAGCGGTGACATTCAGCGCAGCTTTTGGGGGAGGCAGAACAATGAATTGCAACTTGGGGTTTCGTGACAGGTGATTCCCAGGGATGCGCATGCGCTGCCGGTTCAGATATGCCCCGGGGACTCTTGCTTTTCAACCCGGGAATGGTTCCCTGAACTCCCGCAGTGTGGGAGTGGATTGCTCTTTTATGGGGGCAGCAGCGAAGTGCTAAATTACCTAGGATGGCCAGTATCCTATTGACTAAATCTGGAGGGAAAAGCCGATCACGTAAGCATCTTGTGCATTATGGCAAGCTGTCCCTCTTGTCACCGGCCGCGTGGCTGATCTCACACCAGTAGGACAGCGAGGCTGGGGTGGGGACCCTGCCAGATCCGTAGTGGGACCCGAGCAGCCCAGGGTGTTTTGCTGCCTGAGGTCGGGAGGGTGTTTCATCGCATATACACACACAGAGGCTAGCCAGATTGGCAGTTAAATATTGGCTTAGCACCGAGAATGGGTTAGCGTTCTCTATCCCGCATCAGAAAGAGGAAGGGTAGTTTTTGAGATGCAAGGTGGACACCGTGTAGCATGCATAGCTCTGTCCTCACACAGAGAAAGGAATGGCCTGCGAGACCTAGGGGCCACTCTTAATGTCCCTTAGCTTCTGTCATTTCAAGCAGAGGCCACCCTACGCCTAATGCTAGGTAGACATGAGATTTTTGGATTTATTGGAGTATGTATCCTGTAATTCCTCTTGCTGTGAATTCTAGCTGACTTAGACACATCTTAGAGACGGGTGAATGTGGCTCGCCTGGGAGGAAAGGCCTAACCTGTAAGGCTCTGAGGGCGGAGCGAGGCATGAGCTGTGCCTAGCTTCCTGGTGAGAAAGAAAACTCCCAGCTAGCACTGGGGCAGGAAGAGGAGGCTGGGGCAGAGTTTAGGCCTTTTTTTCTCCCAGGTGAGCCACATCCGTAATAAAACTCCCAGCCAGCACTGGGGCAGGAAGAGGAGGCTTGGGCAGAGTTTAGGCCTTTTTTCTCCCAGGTGAGCCACATCCGTAAGATGTGGGCGAGTCAGGTACGACTCCAAGAATGGGGAATTATGGGACTTGTAGTCCAAAAAAAAATACAAAACGTCTAATTGGCTAGGAGGTGCAGCTTTTTGCTGTCAAAACTGGTAAAGTTTGCCTATTCATTTTGGACGCCAGGTGGGAAAGGGTGACATACAAGCTAGAGAGAAAGGGAAGAAAAAGATGATGGTTATCTGTGTTATGGTGTTCAGTAGACTGGGATGCGGTGCACATGGACTCGGCTGCCTTTACTGTTCCTTGTCAGGTTTGTGATTGGATTTTGTCACAATAGCAGTAAGCTTATGAGTCGAATCATAAGAACAAAGCAAGAGAACAAGAGAGCAAAGGGTACGAAAATAGCCAGACGGAAGGGGATCCAGAGAGCTGGCAGCGTTTTCCAGAGTTACGTCCTTATTAAAAACCCACTATCAAGCCGTGACATTAAAATAAAAAACGTACATTAGTTGACTTTCGTTTTCTAGATGCCTAAAAGAGCAATACATCTGTACAATATCATCACTGGGGACTATTCTTGGTCTTCAACAAAAAAGGGAAGAAATGTATTTTTTTTAATCATCCATAATTGGGCAGGTCAACAATATCTCTGAAGGTTCTTTCCTCTTTACGGTGGTAATACCAAACATTGCGATTGAAGCAATATTACCCTTCTTGTTTTGCAAAGTGAAAAGGGCTCCCCCCCCTTCCAAGCCAACCAAAATAAAAGCAGCTGCAGAGTTTGATCTTTCTTCTCAGTGCCTTTAGATAAAGAATCTCTCTCTCTCTCTCTCTCTCAAGGAAAAAAAAAAATATATATATATCCTATATTGGCTCCTTAGGATGGCCTTAAAAACAACAACACTTTTTACAGACTGCACAATTTAAGCTCACAATTGTGAAGGGGGGAATGGATGGATGGATGGATGGATGGATGGATGGATGGATGGATGGAAATTGTGAAATACTGGATAGGCATTTAGATGGAATCATGGAATCATAGAATCATGAAGTTGGAAGGGGCTCATAAGGCCATCGAGTTCAACCCTCTGCTTAACGCAGGAATCCAAAGCAGACAGGCTTTGAAGGCCTCCAGCGTTGGAGCACTGCTCACCACCTCCTGAGGCCATGGGTTCTATTGTTGTACTGCTCAGGAAGTTTTTCCCCCTGACAGATGGGAAGACAGAATAAGCTTTCTCTCTGCTGCTCCAGAGGGGCAGATTCAACCTCCAGTAAAGGAAAGCCAGTCACCCTCCAAGGCAGGCTGAAGGTCTAATGCCAGACCGTTCTTACCACCGGGAAGCCATTCCTCATACCGCCATTAGTCGAAACCTCCTTGTGACTTGAAGGTATTTGCCAGAATCCTACCCTCATCTCTACCTCCTCTTTCAGGCTGCCCACCTTCCCTTTCTTCGCTCTGATCCTGGACCCAGACAGCCTCCTTCATATGGGGCCCTCAGTGACTTCAGGGTCCCCCTTGAATGTCCCGACTCAGCCTCACTCCTGCATCCCCCAAAGATCCTACGACCTGCTGACTTTCTGGACCTCTGGTTCCCCCTCCCCTTGCTGGAGCTGTCAAGGTTTTCAGTCACTCCAAAGTGGAGATCAGGTTTCCGTCTTGCTGGAGCTGTCAAGGTTTCAGTCACTCCAAAGTGGATATCAGGTTTCCGTCTCCCCCCCCCCAAAAAAAAGGTGTGAAATGCCCAGCTGGAGGATCTGTTGGCTTTTGCTTGTCCCTGCCATCAATAATTCAGCTTTCTCGTGTGATGGATGCATGCATTTTCCCGAGGAAGCTGAATTATTCATTCGACACCACTTTGTAATAACAGAGGAAGGGGGATGGTGGTATCACCTGGGAAAACCCTTCCAGGAATCCGGCATCTGATGGAAGAACGTGAGCAGGAAGGAAGGGGGGGATGTGATTGCATATAGTCAAATGCACTGCTTCTCTGGGAGGTGCGAGGGATCATGTCCACTGGTTATATCAAGGATGGCTGGGGCCAAGCTTTCAGGAAAAGGGGAGGGGAGGCTGATGAGCACATAGCCGTGGTCTCTTCGTGCCATTTGGACCGCAACACACAGAAACGCCTTTACCTGGATCTCACGGTGCCAGGCAGAAATCAGTAGAAAGGGATCCCCCTGATGCACAGAAAACTGAACTTTCTTCACCCATCCCTGGTCTCAGCTGGAACATCTTTGCTCAAAGAAGGCAACAACACACAGGCATCAGAACCAAAGGCTGAGATCCTCTTCAAGATTCGCACAGATGTGAGTGCGTTTGCACGCACGACAGCAGTGAACTGTCGTGAACAAACGAGGTCCTGGGGCTGTGCCAGGAGGACCGAGTGGCCGGGCTCATTAGCAACAAGGGGATGCCACGCTTCATGCAGTTATGCTTACACCAGTGTAAATCTCCAGAAGATTCTGGTTAACAGATTCCCTCCCCCCATCTTCCGGCTCCCATCTGGAGCATCTCCTCGTTCCTCCTCCGCCCACCGGCCCCACATCTGCCTGCAACCGCCAGCAGCAAAGATTTCCATCACAGTAAATCAAAGGCCTCTCACTCAACGCCCACCTCTCCTTCTGCGGTGGGCCTCCTCGCTCTCTCTCGCTCTCTGGTTTTCCGTTGGCTGTGTGGGTGGGAACTGCAAAAAGGCCGGGCAGGCGGCGCGCTCTGGAACTGGCAGCGAAAGAGAGGAGGAGGCACTGGGTGCCGAAACTGGGGTGGGT